GGCATGGAATTAAGAACAGACTTGATAAGAACAAGTCTACCGCCGTAAGATAATAAATTGGAAGACCAATTGTTAAGCTTCTTTTCCACTTTAGTAATGATATCATCAAACAAAAAGATTTTCTTTTTACCTTTGTAAATGGGGGTCCCAAGATAAGTAATAGGACAATTTTTGGACATAAAACCACACCTTCTCTGAATAGCAAGAACTCTATTCAGATTAACGGACTTACTAACAATAAAAGAGCTCTTATCTTTATTAATAGATAAACCACTTTGTTTATAAAAGCTGAACAAAAAGTTGAAAAGCAAAGTCACATTGTTAATAGAACCATTCGTGAACAGAATAAAGTTGTCAGCAAAGCTAAGATGAGAGATAGGAAGCCCCCTTATAGTACGAAAGTTTAAGTTTGGGTTTCTCATGTATAAGTCATTCAAGCCTCTCGAAAGATATTCCATAGCAATAATGAACAGAGCAGGAGACATAGTGTCACCTTGTCTAAGACCTTTGGAGGAATTGAAAAAACCATTATTCTTACCATTAATGATCACAGAAAAGAAACAATTCTCAATATTGTTTTTAATAAGAGAAATGAAAGATTTATTAAAACCAAATAAGGATAAAATAGCATAAAGAAATTGCCAATTAAGATTGTCATAAGCTTTGGTAACATCAAGCTTGAAAATAACATTGCCACCTTTAACCTTGACATTGATATCATGAGAAAGCTCTTGGGCTAAAAGAACATTATAAAAAATGCTTCTACCTTTAACATAACCAGTTTGATTCAGAGAGATAATTTTAGGCAGAATATTAATCAATCTGTTAGCAATAATCTTGGAGTTAAGCATATTGAGAAAAGTGCACAAACTAATAGGTCTATAATCATTCCAGTTAATGGGCCCTTCTTTTTTAGGAATAAGAACAATTAAAGTAGAAGAGAAGAACTTGGGATAGGGATTACCCCCAAAGAAACCAGCCACCGCATTAATCACATAATCCTTAATGGTAGCCCAATTGTGTGTTGGAAAAATTTAGTAGTGAAACCGTCAGGACCCGCAACAGCATCACCATTAAGATCTTTAATGACCTTAAAAATCTCATCTTCAGAAGGGATCTAACAAAGCAGATCATTCTCAACCTCAATAATTATGCAAGGAATAATATCAGGATTACTAATAGGTAAGCATGGACAAGAGCTATTGAAAATATTCTTAAAATGGTCAACACCATATTTGCAAATAGAGTCATCAGAGTCAAAAACATTACCATCCTCATCAATAATTTTGTGAATAAAACTTCTAGTTTTCTTTTTACTGGCAACAGCATGGAAAAATTTAGTATTACTATCACCCTCTAAAATAAATTTAGCATTCGACTTTTGTTTTCAAAAACACTCTTCCTGAAGCTGCAATTGAAAGAGAGAATCTTTGGAAAGGTTAAGGGAAAACAAATTGTCAGGATTAGGACTTTGTTGATAGATAGTATCTAAATTGGCAACAAGAGATTCTGCACCTTTAATGTTAGAAAAAATATTTTTGAAAATGTGCTTATTCCACCATCTCAAACATTGCTTGAATCTAGAAAGTTTGGCCCATAAGCGAGACATCCCAGTGATGTTGTTATCAGGAAAAACAAGGGCATTCCAGTTATAATTAAGTAAATTAGAAAAATCGGCATGTAGCAACCACATATTTTGAAATTTAAAAGAAAAAGAAGCAAGATGTAGTAATTTATTAATGTTTAACAAAATAGGAGAGTGATCAGACAACGTCCTACTAAGATGCTCAGTATTAGAAGACGGAAAAGTAGCAATCCAGTTGTCGTTGAAAGAAACCTATCCAACCGTTATTGCCACAAATTAGCTCTATTCCAAGTGTAGGGGCTATCAAAATAACCAATGTCATTTAAAGTACAGTCACTTATCATAGAATTGAAATCCTCCATAGCATTACTGTTAGGTGGATTACCACCAATTCTTTCAGAAGGGCTAGAGATAATATTAAAGTCACCACCCACACACCATGGACCATTGATAATAGATGCAAAATGCTTCAATTGATTCCAAAGAGGCATACGATTCAATCTAGTGCTAGCAGCATAAACAAAAGAGGCATAGCAATTGAAATTATAGATCGAAATGAAGCAATGACAAACTTGCATATAATCGTCAATAATGTTTAAAGATACAGTGTTCTTCCAAAAAATCCAAATCTTGTTGGAGGAATTAGCATAAAAATTAGAAAAATCCAAGGTTTTAGCAGTAGCTTCAATTTTGGTATGATTAATAAAAGGCTCAAGTAAAACAAGTAATTGGACATTATGAATTCTACATAAATTAGAGACTCTAACCTTAGAGTCCTTGCCACCAATACCCCTTACATTCCATAAAAGGGCGTTAATCATTGCAATTTTTTGTAGAAGTTTCAGCTCTAGTGGATCGAGGAGTAGCTGGAAGCACCAGCTTATTATGCTTCCCTTTTTTCCTAGAAACCACTTTGAAAGGGTCTTCTTTAGGAATAGAAGGATTGTCTAAATTATGATTGGAAAGAGCAGCCAAATTCAAATTAGCATTGGAACCAGCATTACCATTAGATGGAGGAATAAACTCACCATCTTCACAATCCTCATCCGTAGAGTTCACAGAGGTAGCAGGGAGGTTATTTAAAACAACAGAGTTCACAAGATTATCATTAGAAATGACATGCTCAACTTCATTAAACATAGAAGCAATAGAAACAAAAAAATTTGGTTCAACAGTAGTAGAATTGGCAGCAGCATTACAATGTACAACTAAATTATCTTTTAAAATGTTATCACCAGCATTCTACAAGGGTTCAACCACTTTATTAATCTGATCAATTCCACCGTCTAACTGTTCAACCACATCATTAATCAGCTCTAATTCACCATTTAGAGATTCAACCATTATGTTATCTAAGTTATGAGAAATGAGTTGCGGTACCACCTCCAGCTCAATATTCTCGTCATTCTCGACAATTTTTTCCCCCACAAGCACATAAGTTTTTTGAGTTTCGGTGGAGCCAAGCTTCCCATTTGAAATAACTTTATTTTTTTTAAGATCAGGATGTAGTTTAAAATAGTCGGAAGAGGCATGACCATGCATTTTACAATGAGAATAGAAATTAGGGACATTTTCAATTTCAGCTTTTTGGAAATAGCCAAACGCTTTAGATCCCACCCAGATTTCTTTGGGTTGTTTCTTCGTAATACCAACCTCAATAAGAATTCGAGCAAGCAAGGGTCTAGTACGGGAGGCAGTAGCCAGATCCATTTGTAGAGGTCTTCCGAAAATCAAACCCAAAGCATGCAAAACCTTTTGATTAAAAAAATGAAGACGAAGATTGGGGAAAGAGATCCAAACGAGCACAATAGGAGATTCCTCTTTATTATCGAAAAAGGAGTCCATTTCAGGATACACATTTGACAATTAAAAATAAAGTAGGCACGTCTAGCAAAAATGTGACTTTAGTCAAGGTCGTTCGATACTGAATAACCACATGCCTAGAATCGAGCAAACCAAGAGAGTAGAATCCGGAAAGTTTCAAGGAAGAAAAAAATTGACGGATAGCATCAAGGTTAGGACGCCTTAAACCAAATTTACCAACAAGCGTGAACTGGAAAGGAGAAGCTAATTTCAAGACTTTATCATCCGAAAGTAACACAGTAGGAATGCCATTAAAGTCGTCTAAGTAAGAGATGCGAGATCATCACTTCCGATAGTTTTGCCAGAGAGTACCTCTTTAAAAGATCTAGATTTGGGAGGAGATGAAGAACCATCACCATCAAGGTTGAAGAAACCCTTGCTCTTAAGCACCACTGGCTCGGAGATCTTCCCCCACGAAGTAGAGGAGACACCTCCCGCCATAGAAAAACAACCCAGAAGGGGCAGGTGAACACAAAGAAGGGCCAACTCGCAGCGATCTCACGAAAAACAGGCGGAAAAACTAAGGAGAGAAGCCGAAGAAGAGAGGTGCTCGGGAAGCCCTAAATCGCCATAGCGGCTAGGGCAAAAGCGCGATGACAAAAGCTGATGATAAAAGTGGAATATATTCAACTAGGTTATGCTACATAGTTTTTGTCCTCCCTTGATTTATTTTCTTAATGTAAAAAATACTCCTATTAGTTGCTCTTGACTATGAGTGAGATTTTGTGTTCAATACTAAAATAATAAACTCTCTTTATCATTATGAATATATTTTTTTTGATCTATTAGACACAAAATAATTAAAAAAATAAATTATTATATTCTCACATGGCTTCGTTTGGGACAGTTTTCTTACTTCTTTCTAAAATAATTTTTTAGTACAAAAATTTCTATTTCAAAAATTTTCGTACTAAAAAACTCACTTTAGAAAGCTGTTTCATTGATTACTTTTATGATCAATATATAATAAAAAAAATAAAAAACGTGTTACATATAAATTTTAAAATACAATTTATATATATATATAATACTTAAATTTTTATATTTACTTATTAAATATTTAAATCCTTAAATTTCATTAAAAATTTTATTAATACTAATTATTTAAAATAATATATATATATTTTTATGTAGATATTTTAATTTGATTTAGAGATTAAAATGACATATATAAATAAATATAAAAATTTAGATATTAGATATATAACTTATCAAATATAAAACCCCCACATGCTCACTTAGCTCTTTTAAGAGTCCAATGAAAAAAAAATGCAGAAATAAATAAAATAACAATTCACTATGGCTCAGGCTGTTGGATGAGAGAGTTTATTATTATTATTATTATTATTTTAATTTGGCTTGGTTATCATCACCTTGAATTATTACGGACGTCCGGTGATCGGACGCAATCCAAACGCGCCACATCATCCGAATATATTGGATTCTGATATATTTTGATGACGTGACGCATTTGAATTATTATCCGGACGAATCCAAACACCGAATGTAATAATTTTCCCACCTTCAGGCCCTTCAAGATTCAGTGGGCAATTGCCAGTTTGGCTTCTATGGACTGGGCGAGAAGGAAAGAAACATCTAGGAAGTAGGAATGGTAGAAGCAAATGTGCAGCAAGCCAAGGCAACTAAGGTGTGAGGAAATAATTACCCCCAAAATTAGTCCTTTTTTGTCCTGATGGGTCGCTGCCTTCCATTGACAGCATAAAATAGTTTACTTGCAGATTAATTTGGTGTTTTTATCCCTTATTTATTCGTCTCTTTCAAGCTAAACTCAGTTTCTTCTCTCTTCTTCCATTCCTTTATCAAAGTTTCTCTTTTTAGACTGGAAAGTTGTGTTCATCTTCTTCATAAAAGCTGCCCAATGGCTCCCTTGTTATCGCCAATGAAAGTTCTCTCAAAATGTTGTGGAAAGTTTGGATTTGGGAAAGTTGTGGATTCCGATTCTAAGGATTTAGAATACCCTCAGTTCCTGGAATTTGATCCAACTGGTAGATATGGCAGGGTAAGTTTCTTTAGTATTTTTCATGTTTTCTTCTTTTTAGGGCTTGACATTGCTATGAACCCTTATTTTTTCTTTGCAGTATAATGAGATCCTTGGCATGGGAGCTTCAAAAACAGTGTATGGATCCGTAAAACTTCTTGTTAGCTATCCTATTCATGATAATTTACAAAAAGGGGCTAAAATATTGCCCCTTTTTTGCCATTTTTGGCTGATTCTTCTTTGATTTTATTAAATTTCACAAATAAGGTGTTTTTTTTGCTGAATTTGATGGCAGTTACAAGGGTTTTGATGAGTATGAAGGGATTGAAATTGCTTGGAATCAGGTGAAGCTAAATAGATTTCTTCGAAGCTCTCAGAATTTGGAGAGGCTTTATTGTGAGATTCATCTCCTCAAAACCCTAAAGCATAAGAACATCATGAAATTTTATACCTCTTGGGTGGATACTTCCAAGAGAAAAATCAATTTTGTCACCGAGATGTTTACCTCTGGCACTCTAAGACAGTAAGCTCCTTTTTCAGTAAGGAAGTATTGTATGTTTGTTCTGTTGAGAAAATTTATTTCCTTTAGCTTATTCTGATTTATTTTCCTGTAAATTCAGATACAGGCAGAAGCATAGGAGGGTTAACATTAGGGCATTGAAACATTGGTGCAGGCAAATCTTAAGTGGTTTGCTTTACCTCCATAGCCATGACCCTCCTATCATACATAGAGACCTCAAATGTGACAATATTTTTGTTAATGGAAATCAAGGAGAGGTCAAGATTGGTGATTTGGGTCTCGCCGCAATCCTCCGAAAACCTCTCGCCGACCATTGTGTGGGTAAATCACTTTGCTTGCTCTTCCCTTCTTCAAAGTAAGAGGTAGACACTGCCCTATAGTTATAACTGTTGCCTACTTTAATCTTGTTTAGGCACACCAGAATTCATGGCTCCTGAAGTATATGAAGAATCATATAATGAATTGGTAGATATATACTCTTTTGGAATGTGTGTTTTAGAAATGGTGACACTTGAATATCCTTATAGTGAATGTAATCACTCTGTAGAAATCTACAAAAAGGTTACCTCTGTAAGAATCAAAACTCTATAATGCTTTTATTTGAATTCCTCAGTTTTCCTTCCTTACAGACAAATCTTGTCTTCCGTAGGGTAGAAAACCAGATGCTTTATATAAAGTTGAGGATCCTGAAGTTAGAAAATTTGTGGAGAAATGCATTGCAAAGGTGTCAGAGAGATTCTCTGCAAGGGAGCTTCTGAATGATCCTTTTCTCCTAATCGATGAGCCTAATCTGACTTATGGGGCAGGAGACATCACACCAATGAGTCGGATTCTTAGAGAATCTGAAACAAACGGGTTCAATGCTGATTTGGAACTTACAATCAAGGGAATGAGGAAAGATGATGGTAGCATCTTTTTAAGTATTAGAATTTCTGATACAGAAGGTACTTTATGTTGAATATGTTATAAATCCATGCAGGACATACATTATTTATATCATCTTGAAGCTTTGTAATGTCTGGTTTGATGGTGCATTCAGGCAATGTCAGGAACATCTTCTTTCCTTTCGATCTTGACAACGATACTGCGATGAGTGTCGCGACAGAGATGGTCACTGATTTGAATATAACTTACTATGATATCACACAAATTGCAAAGTTGATTGATGATGAAGTTGCTTCCTTGGTTTCAGAATGGCAACCTGGCTTGAACATAGGAGAGATGCCAGGTCATGCGATGCCATCCAATGACGAGCCGGATTTTTCGTCGGCAAATCCCGTCTTAAGTTACTTGCCGAAAACGAATGAAAGTAGTACTGAAAACTCTGAAAACCTTGACTGTTCCCTTCATGGCCGATTTGGAGAGATAACATACCATGTCAGAGACAGCGAGCGTGACACACAGGGAGCTTCAATTCCCTCTCCCAGACCCACAGAACCTCTCTTTCAAACTACCTTGAATGAAATCAACGGGCAAATTGACCAGTCTTCCAAAATCCACCATCATAAAGAACCAAGCCTTGAAATGCATCAGAAGGAAACTGAAGATCAGAATGAAATTAGAACGTTGAGTACATCTGATTGTAAGCTAATGAAATCTTTTCATTTAATGAGAAATTTCTCATATCGCATCCCTTCTGATGACAGTTTTAATGGTGATGCAATCAATGGCAACATCAATCATAAATCTGCTGAAAATAGTAATATTTCACCTGAGAAAATCATTGTAGACAGAAACTTATAATTTTTATTTTGTATACACTACACCCAATTGTTCCTTTTTTTGTAATTGTACATTGATGAGATGAAATGAGATGTTGATCATGCTCTCTCTCTCTCTCTCAATCATTGATATGCTCTTATTATATCATTAGGTCAATACTTAAAAGTTAAAATATGTTGATGAGTGGGTGTAAAAAGTATATCTCTATGACTTATGTGGCATTTCGATTCAATTATTGCACGGTAGAGACAATGGATCTATGACTAAACTTTCATCAGAAATCTAAATCAGGTCAAATTGATTGTGATTTGAAATCGATAGCATAATATCATTTCATTGAATGGGTGATGCAGTGAAAATTGTTCTTTAGTCTTGATAAGAGTTTTTCTTTTTGGTCAATGGCAAAAAAGAACAAAAAGCAATGATATTGGAGGACTTTATGACGAGTGTTAGGCTTGGTTTGGGGCAGTTTTTTTACTGTTTTTTGAAGCTGTTTTTGAGTATAAATTTTTAATTAAAAAATTTTTAGATTAAGGTTTTGTTTAGGACTGCTTTTTTACTGCTTCTTAAAGCAACTTTCTAGTAAAAAAAATTAATTTTTATAATTAAAAGCTGCTTTAAGAAGCAGGAAAAAGGCTGTCTCAAACGAAGCCTAAAAGGCTGGTTTAGGAAGTAGTAGGAAAGTTGTCCCAAACGAAGCCTTAATCATTGTAAAAAATACTTGGAGTGGTTTTAAAATCGTCTTGAAATTATTGTTAATGTCATCCATGAGAAAACTATTTAAGGATGATTTTATAACCATTTAAAAATGTTATCATGATCTTTCAAATTGTGGTGGCTTTAATTAATTTAAAGCTATAACAGTGGTTTTAATTATTGTAATGCAATAGCAATTCAAGTTATCTTGAAATTATTTTGAGACTCTTCGGGTCTGTCAAAA